ATTATTATGTGTTTAATAACTTGTCACAGTAATGGCATATTTGGTCACAAGAGCAAAGGCAGCATTTATTATAAACTGGATCGCTTGCCAAACAAATATCTCATACCAATCTGCAGAACCTATTCTACTTGGTTCTAAAAAAAAGATTACATTGTACCCCCTTTCTGAGGGGGTTTCTGGCCTGGGATCTGGGTCTCTCCCGCAATCCAAAACATGAAACATGAAAACATGTGACTCCTGTGGCTCACTGTGTAAACATGCTTAGTGGATGATTTGTGTTTACATTCGTTTGAATAAAATGATCTCAGTTAGTGCAGATCAATGAATAAAAGTGAAAGCTGTCACCTAAACCCTGGAAAAGACTACACATTTTTTAACTTTTAGAGTGCAGGAATTACGCACAAGTTGTGATGAATCTCTACATTCCGTTGTGAAAGTGTCCACAGATCTTGGAATAATAGCGGTAATCTGGTCCTTTTCTGGTCAAGTTTGAAATTGAATGGGAAAAATTCCAGTGTACCCAGTAATTCTTACGTAAAAAAGAGTTGACTCTGGTGGGACACGAACCCACAGTCTTTGAAAGCCTTTGATCGCTGACCTAGAAGTCCAATGTGTTATCCGCAGAGCCATTCTGAAATTTAATTATATATTGTAAATGTCCATATATCTATGAATAACAGTGGTGTGGTGGTCCTCTTCTGATCAAGTAGGAAATTGAATGGGACAAACTCCAATGTAGAGACATTTAAAACAGAAAAGCTCTCAGAAATTAGTTTTCTCAGAAAAAGACACACTTTCTTGAGGAACCACTGGGATTTTAACCTTGGATCTTCTGTTTATGAGACAGACACTTTAAACAACTAAGCCACAGCACCAATTCTTGTGGAAGGTCCACACCAGAGCTCACTACAGTCAGGTTTTGAACTTACATAATACATTTTTTTTTCACATTGAATGTATTCCCAATTGTCCAGAACATATGGCTATTCCCCTTTTTTACTTTTACTTTATTTTGACATGTGAATTGAGGATCTTTATTGGTAAAACATGCCCTTATCCGGCGCAGCGATATAATTATCAGTAATTGGAGAAGATTGGCTCAAAGAACTGTTGCCAAGAAGATTCAGATTCCGAGTTCTGTATAAGGCAAACTCAGTATTTTACACTTTTACACTTTTATTTTTAAAGTTACAATGTGTGAATTGCACTGTACAGACAATGGAACCTTAAAAGGGAAACATGTTTGATTTTAAGGAATTGATTCCTCCCTCTTTATTTGTTTTAGGATCACTCTGAGAATCCTCTGGGTGCAGCGGTCACTTTGGCTCATGAGCTTGGACATAATTTTGGCATGAACCACGACACCCCAGAGCGCGGCTGTGGCTGTAGAGCCAGCGGGGACAGAGCAGGTTGCATCATGACCCCCTCCACTCGGTCAGTACCTCTTCCATCTCTATTCATTTTAATGTTTTTTATATAATATAAAAATATAAATCAGTTGAAGGTACTCATTTTTTGAAGGCAATATAAACATAATTCTTGTCTCATTTGAAATAAAAGTTGGATCTGTGTTTCACAGCCCTGACAGATGTCTCCTAAACGACTCAATGCCTTTACTTCATAATCACATCAGAGCCAATCAAACCCAACGCTGCCAAAACATTGAAATAATTCTAGAGCTTTTACTCAACACAATACCATCCCCATCGCACTGTAGACCATCAAGAGGGGGTTTTGAGATTCATCTGCCAAAATATGAAGATTCAATCATTTCTTGCATAGTGAGACGTCTGTGAAATCTCCTCCAGGCTGTGTTTTTGGCACAGAGAACATTGCAGCATGCGGCTGAAGCTGGCATGAAGAGCACTCAGAATGAAGCAGAAAAACTTTGTTGCTTTCCAGGTGCTTGAAATAGAAAGCAATAATCGAGAGAACTTTGATTCATGGCTGAACCATATCTTTAGAAACCCCTTCAGGACCAACGGTTCCAACTGATGTTAATGTTCCAGATACCCGTTCCCGACAACGTTCAGCTCGTGCAGTCAGAAGGATCTGGTGGACAGTCTTGGGAAAGGAGTGGGCATGTGTTTGTTCAATACGCCTGAAATCAAGCTTCTCTATGGGGGTCAGAAATGTGGAAATGGATACGTGGAGGAAGGAGAACAGTGTGACTGTGGAGATCTGGAGGTACAATCATTAGTTTTTTATAGGGTGTAATACAACATAAAGGATTGGGTGCAGCAGCCATTGAAGACTTTTATTTCTTTACATTCCACTATTTTAAGGGTGCTTTCACACCTCTAGTTAGTTTAATTTGATTCAGAAAAAGAGGAACAATGGATACATTGTTACAATCGTCCGCCATTTCAGGCTCAGTCCACAAATACCCGGTTATTGTGAAAACAGGTATTTTTCTTCGTAGATACCCGCGCATTTTTGAAAACGCTCGCCAAGGTGAATAGTTTTGGAAGCCCTCCATATGTCCATATGTCCATATGTACAGAATAACCTCAGTAATTTGTGTTTAGGTGGTGGGTTTTGTCGTTGGCGTCACAATCTGTGTTGCTGTGTTGACATTAGCCAGTGTAATGGTGGCCGAACTGGGGAATGGAGTTGGGGTGTGCCATGACTATTTACATAGCAACTAGGCCCCTTCATAACATTAAGTGATGTTAAAACTAACAGATAGTAGTATTTAGCATTATTGTTTATCAAACTGTTTCTGACATCATCTTTACCCTGTAGCATTACGTAGGTGACCAATAATCTCGAAGGGGGCACGGCTGGGAAGCAGATACACTTGGTTTTTCATAGGAAGGAGGGAGGGGGGGGGTTAGGGGTGTAAAACTAATTGCAATACTAAAATAATAATTGTTATATTACTAAAAAATTGCAATGCAGTTAACTTAATGCAGGCTTAATGTTTTCTGAAGACATAACACCCAACAGTTTTAAGATTAGTGGAACTTTTTTTTTCCTTCACTTCTGGCGCCCCCTGGATAAATAGCGCCCTTAGTATTTGCCTATACTGCCTATGCCACGGGCTGGCCATGATTTTAATAATAATAATAATAATGAATAGACAAGTGTCACCTTAAGGCGTCCTCAATGACACTGCAGGCCGGTTGTGCTCGTGTGCACAAATAACTTTGATCAACTCTCTTTAAAATAGTTGATTTATTAATTTCCTGTTAAGTTAAAGCTCATATTAACATTTAAACATACTTGGAATGTGTTAATGTTCAATGTTAGTGAAGGCAGATAAATCTTGATACCTACACGTGTCGCAAAACCTACAGATGTGTTGCAGGGCTGCTATACTTGAGCCACAGATGTCACCGAAAATCAACATCAGTCCATAATCTGTGCGGAGAGCAAGATGTCAACTCAGTTAAAACTGCTGCTCCCCCTCGCTGACATTGTGTCTTAATTTATGATAAGTGCAAAGGGTAGAAAGTAAACTGCACCTCAGAGGGCGAGCTCACATTCTAGAAAAACAGGGGACAGCGTTTGCATATTATGTTAAAGATAAAACAAAAAGATTTTCATTTAAGCACATTGACGAACATCACAGAGTTAGGTTAATGGATAAAATCCTTTTATTGCCCAGCCCTAATGCCAACCCATAATGCCACGCACAAGTAAGAAAGGATGCTATATTCTTTAAAAAGCATGGTTTGTCATATTCATTTGGTTTTAGTTCAGATCAGAGTTCAATCATGTTCTCACCACAAATGAACCTGATTTATTGTTCAGTTGGGGCTTTCTCATCTGCCCAAACAAACAAACTAAAAAGGACAGTAAAAATAGAAGTGACCTCTAAACAGGCGAGATGTGAAAGCACCAGTTAAGCCCCCCTAAACGAGTTCAATGGGTCTATCTCCGTTGGTGTAGTGGGTGGACACAGATTTGTTTGATTCCCAGACCAGTCTTTACCATACCTCAGCACTCTCTCTCTCTCTGGTTTAGTTTCCTGTCTCTTTCTATTGTAATTTTTATAAAGTGTAAATAATAAACCAGTGTAAACGTATTTCCAATAACGATAACTCTTAAAAGAAAATCTTGCAAATGATGGCCAGTGATCAAACTGATAATTGCTACATCTTAATTTAATCAGTGAGAGAAAACCACCCGCCCTTCTTATAGATGGCTTTTGTCCCATATACCTCTTTGAAGATCATCCCATGGGCATTTAAACTACCTCCACAGATAGAATGTCTATAGGATTATGGTCTGGTGGCCGATCATTTCTTTATGTGGGGGCAAACATTTAAAATCAGCAGGGGTTCAAATACTTATTTCGCCCGCTGCATTAATTCTGATGATAATTGAAAAAAAGCACTCAGAAGCTTTTGGAGTAAAGTTGGTGTTTTGGATGCATAAATGTATATTTAGGTTGTGTTTGTGGATCCCTTCTCAGGAGTGTTTGAATCCCTGCTGTAATGCCAGTACTTGCACCCTGAAGGAAGGGACCGTCTGTGCTCATGGACAGTGTTGTGAAAAATGTCAGGTAATTTCCCTTCATTATTACCTGTTGGACACTGATTACATTGATTATTATGATTACCACAGATTACATGTCATCACATACAGTGTCCTCCATAATTATTAGCACCCTGGATAAAATGAGTTCTTTAGCTCCTAAAAAATCAGTTGTCTTCGAAATAACATCGGACCACAATAGAAAAAAAGAGTAAATTCCAACCTCTAATGCGAGTGCATTTATTCATTGTCTTCCTGAAAGACCCAGTGACGATCCGACTTCAGCTTGTGAGCAGAGGCCACCAGATTTTGCTTTAAATTGTCCCTGTATTTCTAAGCATTCATGACCCTAACAGCCCCACAGCATCAACAATCCTCGTCCATACTTCAAGTGGGCATGGGGTGCTTTTCTACAAACTCATTGTTTCTGTTCTTCCATTCCCTCTTAGAGTGTTTGTTGCCTAAAAGCTCCATCTTGGTCTCATCTGACCAAAGAACATGGTCTCAGTTGAAGCCTCTGTAGTGCTTAGCAAACTCCAAATGATAGAGTTTATGATTATGTCTGAGAAAAGGTGTTTTCCTCGTGTGCCTCCCTAAGAGCTGGTTGGCATGTAGATGGTTGTTTTGACTTTGTGACCCCAAGATGCTTCATTTCGTTGCAGATTTTTAACAGTGAGCTTTGGAGAATTTTTTTATTCCTCTTACCATCCTCTTCACAATGTGTGGAGCTCCTCATTCAGGCTTGTTTACTACTGTTGCAGTTTTTCTTAATGATTCCTCTCACAGTAGATATGGGCATGTCCGGGCAGGGGCAATTTTCTTGAGCCCATTGTCGGGCTTGTGAAGATCAACATCTTCACAAGTGGAAAAAAGAAATGCCCTCTGTGTCACGTCATATGTACACCCCAGGGAAGCAAAAAGTGATCAATTACTAATTAAATGCTCCTAGATACTGTGGAAATTACTGTAAAAATGACAGAAATACTTCTTATTCTTATAATATTCTAGAAATTTGATGAAAAATTATTACTTGTTAGTCAGGGATTTTATTTCCCTTTAAAATTCACTTTATATTCACATTATATTTTTCTATAATTTTCATTTTGCCCATATGCTTCTGCAATTAAACTCCAGGGGTGCCAATAATCATGGAGGGCACTGTACAATGATTCATATCTAATGTCCAATACAATGTTAAAAATATCACAAAGAAAAATTATTTACACTTCCATTGATCATTGGAAAATTCCAAATGAAAACAGATATTATCGATCTGCAGGGGAGTAGAATGAAATTAGCTATATTGTAATAGGAAAATAATCTTTGTGCCATATGATTTCTTTGCTCTTCATGCATACAACTGTTCATATTTTTCTTAATCATATCTTAATGC